ATTTGAAAAACTGAAAGATGAAAGGTTATTTTTACCTCAAATATTCTATTTGTTATTACAACAAATTCATGTGTTATCCCAGAAGTTCAAAGGGATATTCATTTTACAAATTGCAACAATGGAGAAGGAGAAATTGATAACACATCTGAACAATGCAAGCAACTCAGCGAGTTAATCTTTAAAAGACTGTCGTTTCATTCTAGTCATGTAAATAAGTTGCTTGAAAATCTGTATGGATCATACTTCTTACCAACAATCTTTCTATTGTTGTTGTTGTACAAAACAGCCTTGTCTAGTGCTAAAGCCCCTACATAAAAATAAGAAACAACTCTTTAAAAAATAGTTGAAAACATAATTTGTTAAAAGTAAAAGATGGCTCAACTTCGAGGAAATTGTTATATATGTCTACATATTTAATGTTTCCCATAAGGAAGTCTCATTGTGTCTGTCATTATGAGGACACTCCCTCTACGGTAAGTTCTATTTAAATGTTATCCTTTTTGTTTGTTACGTATCAGCCTAGCTTCTCTTCAAAGAACAGCAAACAGTATAGAAAACCGTTACTGCAAGAAAAAATGGGTTCGATGTTACCGGTAATAATTTTAATGTACAGAGGAAAGATACATTTTTGAACTGCAGGAAGTACCTCCTGGTACATGAATCAGCAACACTGGATTCTAGAAATCCACTAAGGAGAGATTTAATTAAAGAGGTCATAGAATGCAAAACCAAATTTACATTGTCATAGATGAATAACAATAGTTCAGTGGGTGAAATAGACTTACAGAGAAGTTCAAACCCCATTGGCAAACCCCTCCTTTCTCTGCAAATCTCACAATTCCAAACTTCCACTATAAAACAGGCGAATCCAAACGAAGCCCCGAAACTGGTGGTGGTGCCTTATTTGGTTCTGGCCTGTACTTTTGTCACACCCCAAAATTGACATACAGACCAGCTCACTGGTTCACTGGCCCAAGAACATGAATAGAGGTTGCAAAGATTTAAGACAACCGTAGAGATACTGATGGACAGTGTTGTGCCTGAACGCGTTCATTGAACGAAAGTTCATGAACTCGTTCATATTTTGGG